AACATGGTCTTAATGTGCCGTGGACAGTGAAAATACCTTTCGCTGTCATCCAGCGGGGCGCCCTGAATGGGCAGTGCGTTTAAAGGAGCATTGCTGGTTCGAAGTAATTAGTAAATCGAATAAGTAATTGAAGACATTGCCATAACGAAAACTAGTTTTATCTTCCAAGACAGCAACAATGCCCTCGCCAGTAACGCAGCCTCTAGCTGTTATTCGGTCATCACAGTATTCTCTGCCAACCGTTATACACTCATACAAATATAAGTTAACTCCTATCCTTGTCTAAGTCCTGCATCGCGATGATGAGGCTACAACAGAAGACTGTGCAGATGAACTCCTACAGCGTCTACTCTGGCTGGCTGGCATTCGAAAGCCAACCTGCCCTTGTCATCAACGGTGAACCCTTAAACAAAAGCCGGAATACCTCGGTAACGTTCGCAGGGTGATTTGATTGAACTTGCAGTGTGTACAAACTGCGTTATGATGAGGGATCGAATTGTTTCCGTTTCTAACAATGCAGTGTACTGTTCACAGATCCATTCGGACGACTACCAGAAAGTGTGATCCAAGTAAGCCATCCCACGGGATGAAGAATCGGACATTTTGTCGTTCAGATGTAAACATATGGTTGGCTTGGATGGGAATAAAACGTTGAGCTTCTCTATCTAGAGCGCATTAAAGCAAGCCTGTTAGTACTATCCCATCTGAATTACTCTTAATGCGGTTCGCAACTCCCGTTGTAGTCTACTGTGACCCAAAATGTGGTCCATGCGGAGTTTTTCAATTCATTGATTTTTGAACACTTTTATCTAAATGGTAAGTTGAACAAAGAACACACAATGAGGAGACTTCAGGATGCGTTTACTCCAACCTTTATAACATCTGCATCTCAGATGATATTAACCGCAAAATGTAATTTGGATGTAACTACCATGGAAGACTTTTGAAAATCTGCCAAAATTAACAACCAGACATTCGTCATCAAGGTGAGGCCAACGTAAAACAAATTTCTTTCTGTGTGTATACATAGCATTTTCATTGCTTGCATGTTATTATGTTGAAAATTCAAAGCAAGTGAAAACTTTTGGTAAAACACTTAATCCTGTATCAGCGATTGCGGTCGAACTAATGACGGTACTGTACTGTTTATCACGATAATCTGCGCATTGATAACAACACACATTGACTCATTAAACGAACCGTTGCAACATAAAAACAATTCAGGACTGTTAATAACTATGCGAAACGGAATCATGGTTTAGTATTTTCCAATAAAGGTGAACAGTCTAATCAGTTGCTTCTATCGATGTGGATACGCAACACTAAGGTAACGGATCATGCAACGCCTGATATCTTTATGAATCAATAGGTAATTTAAGTTACAATCACAGAAAGAAACTGATTCATGCACTCCGCAATACAGGCTTACCCCTTCGTCATCTGATCGATGAATCGACCGAGCAAAAATCACCTTTGACGGTGTGGGATTTCTGTCTACATCCGAATTGTCTTCCGAACCGTATTCAACCAAAACATGTTCCTGATCCTTTCCGTCTTCTTTCCCCGCATTCGGGAGAGCCTCATCCACTCCAATGGACCGTTTTCTCACCGGACACGCGACCGGTTGAGAGAAATAAATCGAGTCGACATCGGATTGCCGGATGCGCGGAGAAGTCTGTTCTGCTTGGTGCTTTGTTTCTTCCGGATGGTCTTCCAATGAGGTGATCGGGAAATCCACGCGTTGATATCGAGCACAAATCAGATAACCTGTGAGATTTATGTTGTGCAGTATTCGGGCAACTTTAAGATGGTCTTCGCCATAGAGAATTTGATCGTTGATCTGTTGGATACAAAGTAAAAACCACACTGTGAGTATATCACATATTTACAGGAAATTCGAACACAAATAAATACTTATTCAGAACAAAGGCGATGAGACTTTATGAAGTTAAGTCTTCTGTTCTGAAAATCCTGCCCCATTTGATTGATCGTATAACGGAAGGCGTTGGGAAATCGATGAAACGTTAGCCAGGGTTTTCAATTGACCAGAAACATATATAATAAGAACACTGTCCGTGATGTCATACTTAAAAGGGGCTGTAAAAGGTTCATGGTATATTGTGTTGCTTGTACCCCACAAAGGAGAGTCAATGATTTTCCGGTAAATCCGAGGAACTCACCTGAGCGTGCATTAATTTTTCGTACGCCAAATAAGCATCAAATTGCCATCGCACACCAGGAAATGCAAGTGAATCCCGATACCCCTGTTCATTTTCCTTTGCTATGCGTTTTCCAGGATTGCGTACATATGGCGGTCGAAAACAGAATTCCAGATCCCTTACAAATTGTCAACAGACAGTATTGTCAATGCTTTTAGGCGATTATTAGATGTACTATAGAGTAATTTTTATTATATGAATTTTGAGAGCAGCATCTGACTCTCTCTCTCTGCATTGACAGTAAATAAATAGGCATGTCAAAAACCAATTAGGAAATATCAACTGATTGAATCTGAGAGCAACGTGATTCGAACCTCCAAACAACTATCCGGCTGTATTAGGGAGCACTATTCTGCCTGGCTCAACTGAAGACCGATCGACCAATCTCGGCTATACAGTAAACATGCATGAATCTTTCTGGCACATCTATAAGGTCAGATAAGATAGTCGAAAGCAGTCCAGAGTCGTATTGCATCCGCAAAATCGCCATGTGAGTGCGTAGACACCATTTGCGAACTCAATGGCCCTGCATTTGCCATCAACATGCTGTATGGAGATATGCGCTCAAGCCACTCGNCTAATAAGTCAGTCGTTTGATTTCATACCTACCCCACCCACCAAAACAAAATTATTCGCTTATAGGCTTCCCCCCTTTTACCAGCGGTTTGTATAACCATAAAGTTTGCTGTAATTATCCACTGCCGAAACATCGCTAACAATTCTTTGGGTTATGTATTCAAATAACCATATAAATTGATTGTATTGTCTCCAACTATTAATACGGACGGAATTTCGAATCGCCAAAATCGATAAGCTCATTTCGAGTCGAGATTTTAGTTTAAGCAAATCACTGTTTTTTTTCAATTATTATTCTTCTCNATTCTTCTCCGTGACATCGTAAGACAAAAAGGTGTTTCAAATCACAATAAAACTGTTGGCTTATCTGAAAAAAAAATTAAATTCCGGTATGATCGGTGCACACGATTACGGAGCTGGTGAACTGAGTAAGTTCATTGAAAATGCACGGGTTTGGTGAAATAATCACTTGATCGGCTGATTCGGTCAACCCGGTGTGTCATTTCAGTTCTATCTGCCTTTCGTAATCACTTCCATTGGTACGCATTAAACTTTTTTTTAGCTTCGAAGGAAGCCATTGTTCATAGTATCAGTGATTCTGGTCTGAACTTCGTTGTATTTTATTGCAAATCATAGTATGGTTTACAGTAAGAAGAGTACCTT